CTTCATCCTCAGCACAACCATCACAGATGGCTTTGCCCCAGCAGGGTAAGCCCTATTTTTATCTGCATCTCCTGGGTATGCGCTGTCACACGTCACGATGGGGCGCATCCTCTCTGGGTGATGAAGTGCCCTGGTCACCAGCCAGCTGCAGCTCACTGGGCTGGCAAGGAGGAGGGAAAAGGCTCAGCCGTGTCCTCCTGGGGCAGCCGGGGCTCTCAGCCCTTGGCTGGTGTTTGTTTGCTTTGTCCCTGGAGCAAAAAAACCTCTCAGAGAAAATGCCTTGGCTCCTTTCAGCTCCATGCAAGGGACACAAGGACACTCTGGGCTTTTTGTCTGGGAGAGTCAAAATCTAAACAGGCTCTGAACTAGTTGTTAATTACTGTTGTCTCTTTCAAGCACATCCTTGTACAAAAATAGGCGTGCAATCTTGCTATCACACCAACCAAGCTGTGAAAATGAGCGGTCAAAGGAGGATGCAGCCCCTGAGCACTCAGAGGATGCACCATCCAGTGGACATGGGCATGGAAAGCCCTGGCAGGTTGTTGTCTGTCGTGTCCTGTGCTCCCTGGGCTGCTGCAGCTGCTGTGATCAGGGTCCTGCAAGCCCAGGAGTGGAAGCTCCAGCAATTCCCCTTTCTGGGAAATGGGTCCCACACAATGCCCTGGATCCCAGCACAGCCTGGGCAGGCACAGCTCAGCTCCCGCTGGGTCTGAGGAAGCCCAGAGCTTGTTCCTCTGTTTCTTCCCCAGCCAAAAGGAGCTCGAGCTCAACACGCTCCCAGATACAACTTCACATCTTCTACAAAGTTTGTTTTTACACTGAAATACTCTCCTCTAGCGTTAAAACTTTTGCATTCTGGTCGTGACTAAAACCACAAGCTGAATTATTCCTCACTCGCACGCACAGTCTGCAGCTATAGCTTTATTCTAAATTTTGCAAAGCAAACAATTGCTATTTAAATACTGCATCTTCTATAACATTAATCAGTGAGGCTGAGAGGAGTTTTCTGGAGTTAATGGAAGCCATCTGATGTCCATGCTAATTCCCAGGCTTTTTATTCTAGTTTCTAATTGAGCTGGGAGGCTGAAACAAGTAGAGAGGTTCCTCAGTGGGGCTGACCTGCTTGGGATGGAAAATGTTGAAAAAAAGAATTTTTAACCAAGACCATCTTGGCTGTTAACCTTGGGAAAATTTTTGACTGGATCACAGTTATCCTAGGAAGACTAGAGGGTGACTTTCATCTGGCCTCTGCTTTTTTGTGGTGAGCCTGACCTTTCCTGTGAAATCATTAAATTCTTGGTGACCACAGGGGCATCCATTTCAGGAGTGCAAAAGTCTCAGAAAGGAAAAAATCCACCCAGAAAGTGAGTGGTTTTAGGGGAAGGGAGGCGATGAATGGAAGAAAAACTGCTCTGAGTTAATCCCCCCTAAATCTGGGCCCTGACTGCTCCCTGGGGATGGAGGGACTGTGCCGGGGTGAGTGTACGAGGAGGTGTCAGTGCCTTCGCGCAGGGGCTGGGGAGGAAGAGCCCATGCAGCCCACAGCCCTCAAGCTTTGTGTCGCTGCCCTGAAAACAGCTTGAAGTAGCCTACTGGGTCACTCAGGCAATTAGCCCCTGCTGTTTTAATAGCCCTCTGTAGAGAGGGACTGTCAGGCCATGTCCTGGGCTGGTGTAAATCAGCAAAGCCCCTTTGTGCCGAAGGGAGAAGTGGCAGGTTGGTTTTTAGCCGATGCCCGACCCACTCCCCTC